TAGATGTACAGGCATAGGTATGATCACATGCCTAGCCACATGTTTGATCACATTCTTTGGATCACACATATTGTTGCATGACATCACCAGTCCCTTGCCTTGGGTCACCTGTATTTTCACAACACAGCAGCAAAAATGTCTCAATGTAAAAAGAAGCTTCCTCAATACATGTGATTTTCCATACAGGGCAGTTCAGATCACATTAAGGTACACTAGGAAAAATGGCTCAATGGAAGTTTCCATGCAGCAAAAACCCCTCAAAAGAAGTTTCCAAGCAGCAAAAATCCCCCAAAGGGGAAGTCAAGCCAGCATAAATCCCTCATAGAAATACCCCACTAGCAAAAATCCCTCACAATTTACTATGTAAGGAGGCTATTCCTCATAGCAATCTGGCACACCTAGCAGCTACACAGATCTCACTCAGAGTCTTCAGTCAAATTAAGGGGAGGGAAAAGTGATGAAAAACAGGAATTATCATGGAAAGTAGAACCAGAACTAATCATATCAAATAAACACATGGTTAGAAGAATTTCAACAGAAACCAGAGAAGAAGGGGGAAAAAAAAGATAGAAGAGAAGAAAATCTTCCACAAGATGAATTGTTTTTTGAATTAGACAGAAAAGAAAGGCTAAAATAGATGGGATCAAACAATGATACGTAGTAGACACTATTGTTGATATGAAAAATTATAAGAAGAAAAAGTCAACAACTGAGTCAATTTTTTGAGGAAGTTTGACTGTAGTTTTTCTCACCAAATTGGAAATAGCCAGATGAGAATTTTGAGAGATAGAGTTGGCGGAATGAGAATGAGAGGAGGGTGAGCTGACGTTGAGATGATGTGTAATTGTCGTCAATGAGAATGAACAAGAAGTGATATGAGGGAAAGGATATAGAGGAACAGGGATGAGAAGAATCATAGTCAAAGAGAGACAAAGAGCAGAATTGTTGAGTAGGTTTGGATTTGATGAGGTTGCCAGAGTGACAGGCAAAGCAGTAGTGGCGGAGATGATGGTTTGAGGTGAAGATCAATGTGTTTTTGATGTGCTGCGGAGAGAAGGGAAGAGAGCGTTGCTTGGGTCTTTATTTAAATTCAATTGGTTGAGGTTCAGCTTGTGGTTGTGAGACTTTGATCATTTGCTGTCTGACTTGTGGTTGAGATTGAATAGGTTTAAATTGGATTAGTGGTTTCAGGAAGTGGATTACAAGGCTTTTGGTTGTGTCGGAGGAGGAGATACAAGTAGAGAGAGGAAGATTCTGATTGATTGAGTGTATTGAGAATGTATAGGAAGAAGAGGAGAGAAATAGAAAGATAGTGAGACAGAGAGAAGACAAGAGGGAGCGGGAGGAAGGGGAAGAGAGCAGAGCAAGGGTGGAGGAGTACAAGAGCAATGAAATTCCAACACAAAGACACTTTGAATAGTTCATATCATCATCAGTTTCCTATCAGGATTCTCACATGTCAAAATTTACTGTACTTCACTCATAGAATCATAAAAATATCCAAAAATATCTCCCAGTTCTACAAATCTTTCCATTATCTGATTCCAGCCTGCTGTAAACCACACAAATATTTTTCCACTCCAAAATTCCACTAACTCTTCTGCTGAATCCACATTGATTTAGGTTTGATAAGAGACTACTACATATATTTTTTATATCATAGGTTTGCCACAAAAATTAAATAAATTTGTTGTCAGACTTCTTGTGTAGTACAATGAGGGGCAGGTCTTTCAAACCATCCATAAAAGTTGTGATATCTTCATTCATACCTGAAATATTATAGCTGCTTTTTCCCCCTTGCAGGACTGCCACCATTCCCAAAGGAGTTCTCACACCAACCATGCCCATACTCTTGCAGAAATGGTTTTGGGAATTACACAATATTGGGGGTTTTGACCCGGCCCAGCCTGTCCAGAATTGAAGCAAGTTGAACCAGGATAGCCTGTGTTCAGACAAAAACTGCCCAATTATCATCCTTATATCACACTATAATTACTGTTAAACCTGCTGATGTCACCTTGCTCTATCTGAAGCTTGCAGCTGCTTATAACACTATTTTGTCTATGATTGATTCAGAGTTCAGAGTGATATTACAGCCCTGTAATTGGTGATGTCAAATCCTTTCAAATGCTGATGAGAAATCCTCCATTATTCAAGAACTAAACTAATTTTTTTTGGAATTTCAACTCCTCCCTTCTTCATCTTGTTCTCTTCCCAAATTTATATTAACTCTTTCTTACATTAATACCCTAAACTACTAATAATTTTATAGTCTGTCTAGTAGCAAGTCATGAAAATTAAACATCAAATTCTTGTAGTCAAAAGAACCCTGAATCCCTAGTTGTTAATTTCTTTCTTCTCCATGCTTATCTTCTAATTATTCTCAAAGTTATGGTGTTGAGATTGATCTGATGAAACTAACATCTTCATCAGAAATGTGGTTCTTGTTTTCTTTTGTTGTTTATCGAGTAGAGTTATCATAAATGAATAATATCTCTCTCATGATTCATCAACACTGAATTTAATCACCTCTCAGTCTGTTTTTTATTCATTATTGTTTCTTTATTCATTTCTCCACAACCACTTTCTGAACAGCTTGTACTTAGTCTATTTAAACATAGCTAGTTATAAGAAATGAACCCCATCAGTTCTCACCTTCATTTTTCGCCACTTTGAGCTGTTCCAACAAAAACATTTTTGTTGTCCAAAAATTTATCCAAAAACTCCTCCCTGTTAATTGATCCTAGTTTCAACAAATTTAGGCCACATTTGCCAGCAATATGGATATTTTTGCCTGGCATCCTATGGGTCTGCCAAAGTTGCAGCAGATGTCATAAGAATCTACATTGTACCACTCAATTGGAGGAATTCCCATTGCCATTTAGAGTACTTCTTAAGCCCTCCTCAGTCCTAAATTAACACCCCAATCATAATTAACACACCAATCATAATTGCAACCAGCTCACATGAGAGCCATCTCTGCAAGGTTTGTGAAAAACCCAATTTTTTAAACTGAAATTCTAAATCTAGGGGGAGTGAATTCAATACCTGGGAGGTTTTTAAACTGCTACAGGAAGCCATCCATTATATCTGTGCCAAACAAGGCCTTAGATGCCATTTAAAAATATTCCGCACTTACATCAGGGTTTTTGGGTGGCTGTACCCCCTGTTTAGTTCATGTGAGGAGCCAACACTCATTCTCAAGATCCAATTTTCATTTACCTGTTTCCCTCAACTTATTGTTGTCCTTGGCAAATGTTGGCTATTGGCTTTGTTGAGGTGTCTGTTAGTCTGCTACCATGATGTATCACTACATGTTGAACCATGAGCACTACCACCCAACTACCCTGGCAGTCACAAGCGTCTGTAGCCTACACCACGGACAATTGCATGTCGCTCCCGCGCGGAGCAACATCTGGGGGTTTCATTGGGGGTTTCGTGCGCAGTCACTGCGCCTACTGCCGCAGTCACGCACGCGGATTCGTCAAGGTGACGGTTACATCCGCGGCGACACGCAAACGACCGTGGTGCTAGTTGGTAAAGGCAGCACTCTAGTATGTGTCTCAGCTTAGCTGAGGTCGTGAGTTCGAATCTCACCAGACACATCTTCATTTTGTCTGTCTCTACAGGCTTGCCTAGCTATTTACCAGCCATGACCTTTTTCTTATCAATCAAATAACATGCTTTTTGATTTCCAGACAATTGTTTTCCATATTCCCAAGAAATTTACCCCAAGTCTTCCATCACAATTCTGGTGAAGAATCATGCCATTAGAAATGCTAGGCTTGAGCACATATCATTAAAGAATTACCAACACCTTGAAATTGATTTCAAGATGGGTTGTGTTGAACTTGCAGAACAGTCAAGGGATCCATTTTAATCCCACTGCAGTCTGGCTGTGCGCCAACAACCAGATCTAAGTCAGATACTCAAAATCAAAAACCTAATCTAAACTCATCAGATGTTTATACTTTCTTACCATTAACCTTGTGTATCTCTTTCTTCATCCAATTCATTGTTTTTATTTTCTTTGGGTCTGAGTCTTTTCATTTCTCTATGTTTGTGTGGCCTCCAGGTCTGCATTTTTGCCTTTCTCTTCCATTTCGCCTTTCTCATTTGTCATGCCCGTCTCTTTCAGGTTTGCTTGCCTGCTCTCGCATCAGATGTGGTCAACAGCCTGACTTGTCTGAGAGCATGCATATCTTTCCCAACTTGACAAGCACTTGCGGTTATGATAATTCTTATGCATTTTGCAGTCGTCGTGGTGGGAGCAGTGAATTTCTCCGGTCAAAGCTATGATTAGATACTGATTCCTCGGTCTCACCCACTGATTTTGATCTGACCAGTGGACACATGTACTTTCCCTCACTATATTGCCTGCCACTGACTGGCATAGCGATCCAGAATATCGCAGCCAGAGAAATCCAGACTGACGGAAGTATCTAAGTGACGGCGTAAGTGAAACCTACGATCTGCCGGCTCCGCTCGTTCATGGGGTGTTTCTCCAATAGCCTGGATCATGCACCGCTAGAGATGTATGAGCCTAGGGCACTGATGCTGTGATCAGTGAGCAAAGCCAGTCGAATCGGTTCACAGGCGAGTGTTATCGACCGAGGATTGGTTTTCAAGTTGTCAAATCCCCGTAGGTAGCAGGAAGTAAAAGTGAGGCAGTGCAAAGCTAGCTTTCACCGATACTGTGTATCTGCCATAATGACTCACATTGAGAGCTTTTCTGTCTCTCTTCATAAGAGCGTTGCTGGTTTGCTTCTGATACAAGTTGGAAACCGAAGACCCACACCCCGACTACTGATTAACCACTCCGTGGTTCAAGAATTCAGGCATCTACAGTTGTTAACACATGCTTTATGTTGGCCAGCAACCATTTTTCTTGACAGTACGACGAGGTCGCTAATGTTTTCTAATCCCTCAAAGGTTCTGTACGAGTTGCTTCGACGGGACAACTATGCCATTTTTTCTCCTCGCATCTTTTTGAAATGAGGTTTTCGTGATAGATTCTGTACCCAAACTGTGATCCATACCTAGGTCATTATTTTCATCCTTCTCTAGGCCCGGTGCCTGTCCTCAGGTTGACATCAGTATTAAAGAAGTAGTACGATAAAAGTAGGACCTTCCTAGCATCAAGTCTTCCCCGTTTCACTTGACATCCCGAAGAATCAAGAGTTCACCATGTCTATTGTTGGATCGCGAGCTACCAACTTTACCTCGGGTAGTGGCCCCTCCAATATCACCGGCAGTTCCACAACGGAAAATACTGCCACTGCCAGTCTTGCGATTAAGGCCAAGCTGGCTGACTTGAACGCAAATACAGCTACAGCAGTCCAGTACGTGCTAGGGTTTCAGGTTGGATCCATAATCGTGAGCAAATTTCCAAAATGAAGAGACATAAAGATAGTACAAATCAAGAAAGAAGAAAATATCCGCCAAGAAATAGAAAGAAAGTTTAATCCTTACCAGTGATGAAGAACACCTCAGCTGACTTGTGATTTTCGAAATGCTCCTATGTGACTCAGCTGGCTTTACTTGTAGCATCTCCCTTGATTTTTAGGCACATCAAGACCGGTCGCTACAAGAGGGGATGGTTTCTTACTAAGAACAAGGCTACTCCGACCAATCTTGCGACAATTTCGATTATTGCTCAAACAGTCAACCGGAGCCCAGATGTTCCAATCGGTCAGCAAAATACAACCTTACAAGTCAAATTTCGACAGATATATGCCATGTTCTTGTTAAAAACAATCCCATGGATCCAATTAACCACCGGAAGATTTGTATTGCTCTTCGTAGGTCTTTCTCATTTTAATTTTCATCTATTCATTGGTAGAACATCTTTTAAATAGACTATTGACATCAAAATGAGTTATCTTTCGGGATTATCCACTTCTCAGGTTATCCTTCATGGTTTTCTATTTGGTTTGATTTATAAAAACACCACGGAGCCATTGGGGAATTTTAAAAGGCCTGGATGGATTGCCGCCATTTTCCTTCCTTTGCAATTTCTCCTTGCCATGAAAAACTCCCCAATTTCACTAATTGGTAAAAGTTATGAAAGAGTAAATTATATCCACCGATTCATAGGTATGTAAGTTCGCCCATTGAAGAAGATGAGAAATTGAAACTAACTCGTACGCGACAAACTCCAGGCCGAGCGATATACCTGCTGAGTATGCCCTCTGATCCTGTCATAGATAAATAACCATAAAGAAATAGCTTGGAATTAAACATCAATCCCATTCTTGTAGGTTTAATACACGGTTTTCTATGGGGGAGGCGAAAATGGATTACAAGCGCTCCGATTGTTTTCAAAGGCGCTTCGCTGTATGGGCTTTTTGCTTTGGTATCCCTTTCGATTATCTCTTTGAGCTCCATTCAATGGATCAGGCGCAAGATGTACCAAACCTTTTTATTATGCCATATATTCGGGTAAGCGAAGACGCATGCTCATATTCAAGCCTCTAAAATCTGATTTTCATGTTTTGGGTGGATAGTTTTTCCGCTTTTTTATTAGCTCTGTGGTTTCATGTTCCAGCACTGAAGCCGGTAAGTGAAGTTCTGGCCAATTGACCCAAAAAAGACTCTGGCGCTTCGCATGTTAATTTTTGTTTTTTTTTTCTTCGAACAATTTCTGCATTAGATCGTTGTCCTATCGGCTTCATTCGTGGGGTTTGATTACTTGCTTGTCTACTTGAAGACATCTATACGGTCTGCTGTCTTTACCTCTTTACCTGGCGGTGTGACAAAAGTTGAGATTGACCGAATAGGAGAGGGCTGGACGGCTGGCAAGTTTTTGATGTTTTATGAAGTTCACAGCTTGAAACTTACCTTGGATTATTTTTACTCAACAGGCCAGCATGTTTACCTTCGAGTCTTCAAAGGGCGCCACTCATTTGAGAAAGTGAGCCATTCAGAAAAGTGTCATATGTGCCTTTTATTGATTATCATCTTGTTTTCAGCATCCTTTTACGATTGCCAATGCCCCAGCCTCGCTTTCCCCATCTGGGTGAGTCAACTTCCACTGGAAAAAAATATTTGGTGCATTTACTTAACACTAAGAACCGACCCTTGTAACAGACGAAATACTCTGGTGCTAATGGCCAAGGCAGCTGGAGACTTCACTAGCGTAAGGTCCCCTTGAATTATTATAAACTGGATAGCAGATCACATATTTACATTTGATTGATGATCGACGCAATTAGCGTATTCATCGAGTGGGTTACGCTGAAGCAGCTTTGGTGGGCGGAGACTTAGAAAGTCGCAAAGCTTCAGTCGATGAAAAACATTTCCAAGCGTTATGCGAAGCGGCTTCAGATTGCCGCCTCGCTGTAGCGGTGGAAGGGTAACTCATCTCACCTGGTACTACATTAACCCTGTTAAAAATACTGATTTTGAAATTGTTACTCAGTCCATATGGAGCGTCTTATTTGGACATGAGTGATCATGAGACAGTAGTACTGGTCGCTGGAGGCAGCGGGTTTACATACTGTATGTCGACCCTTGAGCACGTAAGTCTCCCTAGTAGAAAGGCAGCAGATGAAAGATGCACGAGTCCTGACTTTCTGTTTCATTACTGATCCCTCATTTTAGATTATCGGGAACGCTATGAAGGGTGTTGGCCTCACTAAAAAGATATTTGTTCTTTGGACACTCCGTGATCTTGGTGAGCTTGCCTCGCTACTTCATCTACCATCCTCAAACAAGATATTATTCAAATCAGCTTGTGGGGAATGGTTGGAACATGGGTCAAAAGATTTTCTGCCAGCCATTTCCCATTAGTGGGGATAGAGTGAATTAACTGATAGCTCTAGTTAGGAGGAAGCTGATAAAATCTTCAATCCTTTCAGACATGGTACAAGTATTTGCAAGTGATTTGAACAGAGCCTTAGAATGCGCGCGCCAGTTCCGGTTCGAAGTAGTTGTTCGGCTTTACATCACCACACCTCTGAAGCACGGTGACATGAATCCAGTTCCAAATGCTCAGATAACACCAAATCGTGTAGATCTCAAAGGGGTTTTGTCTGAAGCCCTTGAAAGTACATGCTGGAGTATTGACACTCGAGGAGAAACCAAAGGTTGTGGTTTAGCTGTTGGAGTATGTGGGCCAGAAGGATTAGTTGTTTCTGCGCGCAGTGCTTTAAGTGCGGCGGACCCAGTCTTAGCGGCCAAGGCTGGTGGACTTCAAATGCATTCGTACGCACATTTGTTTCTTATGCTGCTATACACCACAGTTATTAATAGAAATCCTGACTGGTTATCACTTTTTTTAAAATAAAAAATAGGGAAGTATTTGGATGTTGATTGGATTCAGTGCGCAATCAAAAAAAAAAAGAATAAAAAAATATCCAAATTTTTAAGTGGCTGAAGTATGCTAGCATCACAACCATAAATATTATAAAAAAAATTTGTAAAACTGTAAATCAAAATGAAAATAGTGACCAAGTGATATCACCTTATTAAGCATAATTATGTGTTAAGGGCTCCATCAGGTCTACAATCATGGGATCAAAATACTTGTTTGAAAGATGTGTTCAGTCAAAAATGTTTTCCGGAATTGAGGCATAATTGTAAACTCCATCTGCCTGGCTGTCTCTTGTTGAAATTCTATTCCTGTGTGTTCTACTTGCAATTAATTCTTTGAGAAATTGAAATTATACAGCTGCATATACAGTAAAAACAGTCAAACAGTTTCCCATGGGATATGCCATATGCCTTCTTTATTGGAATTCTAAGTGAATCCATCCCTTGCTTATTCCTCATAAAGCAGTTTCTGAAATAATATCACCCCTGACCGGAGCCAATCACACCAAGTGTATGTCAACTTCTTCATGGAAATCAAGTTTTTTTCTTGAAGTTATTGTGATATCCAATCAGTAACCTCTGGTGTTTATTTGGGACATTTTATACCTTAAGAGAGTCAAAGAGAGTGATATCTGCATTGAATGGTGGCTGGAACAACATTCCAAAATCTGTTCTAAACTGCATCATGCCACTCAAAAAAATGGCATAGCTGATAGTGCCAAGTTTCACAGCTATTAGCGGGGTTCACAATAGCTTCTCGCAAGAAGCTCTCTTGATTCTCGCAAGAAACTGCAGCACCGCTGCAGGCATAAAATTTAGCGCGGGATTCTGAATTTTTGCTGACAAAATTAACGTCAGCAGTGCGCGAGCAAGAAAAAAAATTAACGGGTGCGAGAAGCGAAAAACGCTATCGTGAACCCCGCTATTATCTTTAGCTGCAGCTTAAAACCGCCAAGCTCTTCTCACAACAAACTACACTAAATCACAGCCAATTAGTGGGCTGCTACAGCTGAATAGCACATGATAAATCTACAACAGAATTTTTATTGTTGTACCATGGATAGCTGTACCTGTAGCTTGGGTAGACCATATAAGGTGATTTTTCAATTGTTTACACATACCTCATCTCACCAGTGTCCCTTGGTATTCCATAGTTTTGTCTTGATCTCTTTCTTTTTTCTGGTTATGCAATGCCCTACTCACTTTGTCCATCTTTAGCACACACCACCCAAAGGAGTGTTCTCATATCTTTCTTTAATATCATTTTTTACTGAATTCTTGGCAATGCATCATGCAACCCAGGGACTGTCAGCTTAATGAGGGCATCAGCATGCTGCCTGTCTGCATCATCCCAAAGGGCTCCTTTTCCCAGCATACAAATTACAATACTACCACACCCCCAACAAACATCCAACGCAGCTGCACCCCCAACAAACACTGGATTTCATTAGGCTTACTACCAGTTTTGGTTTTACAGGCAAGTCTTTGTGAACTTTGCTGTACACCACCAATATAGATGACCGAAAAGAAGTTTGCATCAAATGTTTTTGGCAAAAAACTGGTTTCCAAGCACATTTGCCCTTTTGTCCAATACAACTTGTTCAATTTGTTGCTTTCCCAAACATGCGTCAATAGGTTGCAACAGGATTTCTGCCTTGACTCCACCATGGACATCTTCTGTGATTGAGCTGCAAAAGATTCATCATGTGAGACACCGATTCCGGACATTGTGGGGCATCCAGGGATTAGAAGACCTCTTATCGGCATCCCGTCCAAAAAGAACCCCTCTCCGTCCGGGAATTGAACCCGGGTCACCCGCGTGACAAGCGGGTATACTGACCTCTATACTAACGAAGAATGCGATGTTGATCTGTGTGTTGTTGGTTTTGAGTATAATTTCAGATACCGTGTCGGGAGGTGTTGAGCATATTTTTTCATTTCAGCGGTGAATTTGGATGCTCGAGGGGGGTTTGTCTGATTCAGTTTAATGCTAATAACCCCCCCTCGGGTGGGCCTGTTGACTTTGGGTCTCTCAGTTTTCCTGTTGACCGTTCCGATTCTGCAAGAGTTCCTCTTCCTCTTCCACTCGGAAAACTGAGCAACCTCCTCGGGTAAAAACAACTTCCCCATCTCATCCCAGATCGAACGAACGAACCCATCAGCAACAGCCCCCGATCACCCACCCGCGATGGTCGCTGCGACGGATAACCCATACTTGGCCCATATGGAACAGTCAGGTGCACTCGATGGCTTCATCCCTAGAAAGCTATCCGGTAAACAGGTCTTGGAGGCCATGGATCACCCCACAAACCCTTTCACCGGAAAGAAATACTCCCCACAGTATAAAACCATTCTAGAACAGCGCAAGGCTTTACCCGTCTTCAAACAGGTACTGTAATCATTCAAAAACTAAAAAACTAGAACAAAAAAAAACATCCAATCCACTTTCCTTCATCTTTTCCTCCTGCTCGATTTTCTTTTTTCTTTCTCTCGTGGATGGTTCTTTGGATCACAAACCAACTATTTCTGTGCGCTTGGTTGGCCGCTTTTTTTTTATGTTACTGACAGTTTCGCTCCCCATTCAACCTGATAAACTATAACATTCGAACCCAAACCTCGACCTGGCCTCTCTTTCACTCGGAATCGTCATCAGATGGCAGATTTTTATAAGATGTACAACAAGAGCCAGTTTGTGGTTATGGAAGGTGAAACAGGCTCAGGGAAAACAACTCAGTTAAGTCCAGACCTAGTTGGAGAGTTAAACTCATCAGGAACTCATTTCTATGGAACGTGAGGCTGATTATATTGGCCCATCCTCAACATACATCCCTATCCAGAATTCCACAGTATGCGATCTACGGCGATCTTCCTCACATGAAAAACAAGCAGATTGCTTGTACGCAACCAAGACGAGTAGCAGCCATGAGTGTTGCAAAGCGTGTGGCTGATGAGATGGACGTCAAGCTTGGCGAAGAGGTCGGATACAGCATCCGATTCGAAGATTGCACCAGTTCAAAGACAATTTTGAAGTGTAGGTTATCACTTTTCTCAACCCGATCGCAATTCTGCGTGCATTTTCAGCTGGTTGACTGAGTAGGAACTATATACTTTTAGACATGACCGATGGTATGCTGCTCCGAGAGGCTATGCATGATAATACCCTTTCGCGTTATTCGACGTTGGTACTCGACGAGGCTCATGAACGTACCCTTGCAACCGATATATTGATGGGTTTGTTGAAAGACATTGCAAAACGCCGGCCTGACTTGAAAATTGTCGTCATGTCTGCCACTCTTGACGCGGCCAAGTTCCAAAGTTATTTCAATTCCGCACCACTGCTCAAGGTCCCCGGACGGACATTCCCGGTCGAAACGTTTTATACGCCTGAGCCTGAACCCGATTATCTCGAAGCTGCGATCCGTACAGTCCTGATGATCCACAGAGATGAAGAACCGGGAGATGTATTGGTCTTCCTCACCGGTGAAGAAGAAATTGAAGACGCGTGTAGAAAGATTAGTATCGAAGCCGATCAGCTTCTCTCTACTTCCTCGCTTGTCGGTCCATTGAAATGCGTACCACTTTACTCATCTCTACCTCCCCAACAACAACAACGGATCTTTGATCCACCGCCACCACCGCTTACTCCAAATGGACCTCCCGGTCGAAAAGTTGTGATATCGACAAACATCGCCGAAACCTCATTGACGATCGACGGGATTGTGTATGTGATCGACCCAGGATTTTCGAAACAAAAGATTTACAACCCACGTATTCGAGTCGAATCTCTGCTAGTCTCACCTATTTCAAAAGCTTCTGCTCAACAACGTGCCGGGCGAGCCGGTCGTACACGACCTGGGAAGTGCTTCAGATTATACACCGAGAGCAGTTTTGTTAAGGAATTAGAAGACCAAACCTACCCCGAGATCTTGCGGTCGAACCTAGCCAGTGTGGTACTAGAATTGAAGAAGTTGGGGGTGGACGATTTGGTCCACTTTGACTACATGGATCCTCCAGCACCCGAAACAGTCATCAGAGCTTTGGAACTGTTGAACTATTTGGCTGCCTTTGATGATGAGGGGAATCTGACCCCCCTTGGGGAGATCATGGCCGAATTTCCGTTGGACCCTCAATTGGCTAAGATGTTGATTTCTAGCCCGGAATTCAAATGTAGTAATGAAATATTGAGTATTGCCGCAATGTTGTCTGGTGGGTCATTCATCTGTCTTCTCTGTTAACCTATTCTCATTTCTTGTTTCATACTGACAATGTTACTTGAACGCTTTCAGTGCCCAACCCATTTCTTCGACCTCACAATCAGCGCAAGGAAGCTGATGATGCAAGGGCGCAATTCACCCACCCCGAAGGTGATCATTTGACGCTTTTGAACTTATACCATGGATACAAATCCAGTAAGTTAGATTTTTTTTTTTTTCAACTGTCGAATGGAGGGGGTGTGCTTACAAATTATCTGGGGACCTCACTCAACAGGCTCCGATCCCAATGGCTGGTGTTGGAAGAACTACGTTGCCAACAGAGCGATGGCGCAAGCGGACAATGTGCGAAATCAGTTGAAGAGGACGATGGAAAGGTTCGATCTCGACCTCGTTTCCATCGATCATAAGCACAAGGACTATTTCAAGAACATCCGGATGGCTGTCACCACTGGTTACTTTATGCAAGTGGCCCATAAAGAACGTGAGAAGGGCGTGTATACCACCAGGGATGGTCAGATCGTCGGCTTGCATCCCAGCTGTGGACTCGATAGTAGTCCCGAATGGGTCCTGTATAATGAGGTTATTTGGTTTTTCTTTCTATCTTTTTTTGACTCGTGTTCACTTGCTTTCTTTTTGTCCCTTTTTTACTTTTCCCACCTTTTCAGTTCGTCTTGACTACTCGGAATTTCATCAGGATTTGCACGGAAGTGAAGCCGGAATGGTCAGTATTTCTCTTTTGCTTTCTGATCACCAAAACAAGCGTCACATGCAACTTTGCAGTGCTAAATACGGAATCATGACTTTTTTTCTCTCTCTTGTGTGTTGTACGTCTTTTTTTATACACAGGTTACTAGATTTTGCGCCGTTGTACTACGATGTGAATACGATGCCGGATGGAGAAGCGAAACGGGCGTTGCAGAGAATCGTGATCAAGAAATCTAATCATGCGTCTTCTTCCTCTAGACGGACTGAAAACGATCAGGATCCGGAGTCTAAGGCTAGGAAACGTCAACGCAAGTTGGACAAAAAATTAAAGGCTGAAAAATAGTCTTCGTTTTCCTCTTCTCTCTCTCTCTCTTTTTTTTTTTCTAAAACAAACAACTTTTTTTGTTGGGGCAGCTTGTTGGATATTTCCTTTTTATTTTGTGATGGTTCAAGTTGTGATGGTGAGAATAGAATAGAATAGATTGGGTGGCTCTGTTTTTTTCTTCTTCTTCTTTAGGCTCGAGCTGTGGCGATGTTTTTCTTTTCAACAATGTGTCTTTTTCTCCTCCTCCATCGCACACTCAAAACTAAGAACGTAAGATTTATTAAACAGAGTTGCACTACGCTTCTGGGGCCCTGCGATGTTGCACAAGTCGCGTAGATCGAAGGTGTTGCTTTTGGGGCTTCAAAAAAAGCTCTTTCTGATCAACTCGCTCCACACCCTGTGGACAAGTTGAGCTATGTACTCAGCCGTCATGATGTCTGTTGCAATCTCTACAAGGTGATTGTTTCCTCAATTCATTCATCGGTTCGGCGCAGGATCTATCCCAATAGAAACCAGACATCAGGTCCCCCCCCCCCTTCTCCTTTTTTAATCAGTTGGATGCCTTGTTTTTTTCCGTCCAGCGGACAAGAGCACAACTAAAAAAAAAACATCCGGGGAATTGTGGACATATTATATGGGTAGGTAGACATGAATATCAATCTGATTGACAAAACTGAATGGAGTACCAGGGAGTCGAATCCTGTACCTCTCGCAGACACCTAGGTCGATGCTAAGCGAGCGCTCTACCGATGAGCTAGAACCCCTTCCATGAAATCCTTCGCGGTTTTTTGATACTAACAAGGATAACCTGAGAGTCTCCTTGTTAACCTCCCCAATTTTACATTAATATGGATATCTCTAGGTTAATTCCCCCAAGACAAATAGTAAACAAATGTTCACACAATCTTGGGTAAGATGCTTCTCTCACCAAGACTCTGCAAAGTTTCAGCTACTACTACATGGACCCGAATTTGGTTCTTAAGGATGATGGACTACTAATTCAAGCTATGTTGTTTGGGGTGTGCATCAATGGCACAACATGGTTGCGTTTGTTTTGCTTTGCTCCTCGCTCTTCAACTTGTACATGAAACAAAACAAGAGCCAGACCAACTTTGTCTGGGGGAGATGGATTAAATGGAAGTACCTAATGGAGCCATGGGGATTCTCTGCTGTCGAACAGATGTTGAAGCGCCAGTCTCATAGGTTTTCTTACCGTACTATTCTAATCTGAACTCAGGTAATTCAGACAACTGACTCATGAGGCCCTCTAAAACAGCTGTGAATGTCAAGACTCAGCCTTGAACATTTGCGGATTCTCATATGATTATGAGTACCTCAACCTAAGGGGGAAAAAAACGAATTATTTCTTGTATGTAGGAAACGGGCAAGAAGAGCAAATCATTCGGGCAGGTACTGTCAACTGAGTTTGGTCCATATTCCGGATTGATTCTGAAAAGGGGTGCTAGATTGCTCTGGTCTTGGCTTGGCGATTTTGATGAATTGAATCGAATCGTTCTGTGTTCCATACCAACCGATAAGAGGTTGTTAGAACATGTAGACCCTGAAGACAACTGGCAGGAGCTTTCAACTGACTTGAGATTTGGGGCTCTGGCTATCCAGCTTCCAGTCGACTTATTATTGCATGCTAAAGGTTTGTTGGGGGGTCTAAAAAGTTCAGAATCAAAAGACTGAAAAAGAGGTCGAGATGCTGATTAGTGAGGAGTTGAGCCTACATTACTCGAGAGTCAAGAAAAGATTCTTACCAGACAGACCAAGTCAATCACGCAAGTGCATAATTTGATTGATAACAAGCCCAACAAATGGTAGGAAGTAAAAAGTAATCGGTTATCAGCTTGGTGGCCCGACAGTGTGCAGCGAATGTATTTCTTCAAGATGATAGTATGTAGATGATCAAGGATCACATAATTCACCTCCACAAACGATCTTACGGCCTACAGGTCTGCAGCATTCAACCGGATTTCTGATGCACTCGCCCGAACGAGGGGCAGCCTGAAGGGCTGGAACTAAGCAAGAAACTATGACTAGGTATAGGATGAAGCGCATTCTTGAACTGTGAGCGGGTTGAATTGGGTTGGCTCATGTCCGATTTTGTTCCCTTTATATAGCAAAAATGCCTACATTTCACGACAAGTTCGGCACATTGCTTCTCCAGATTTTGACTTCTTATAATACATTTATCCTATCAAAAATTGCAGATGGACCCGATTGCCTGAGGTGTGTGGCATGGCTATTGAAAGCCAGCCACAGACATTAAGCCTCAGCTACGGCATGGTGCACAGCGGCGAGTTTCTCCGGCCGGCCGTGCTCCGGTCGGCACAATGCGACAAGTGTATTTGTTAATTACCATTCCACATGCGGGAGGGAGGAACTAGGAGGAACTTCGTACCACACGCCAATTGGCCATGTATTCCGATTGTCTGCAATTGGAGGAAAGTCGAATACACGAGGCTCGGAGGAAAAGCAGCGTGAGCAGCTGGCGCCTAAACTTAACTATGTAATCCCCTCCGGTAGTTTCATCCGATGGCTTACCGGAGGATAAAATTGCCGGATCCCACCTCCCATATGTAGAAGGATGAACCTCTCGACCCTTGGCCTCCATACTTTTGTTTTTTTTTTCATAAAGGCCATCATTTGGACATCATAAATTCCAGTTGCACATCAACCGCAAATCCCCAAGCAAGTCACTATCCGAAGGAGACACAATGCGTTCTCTTGTGCAGCTAGTTTTGGTTCTTTTTTCTTTAGTCGGCCTGGTCTTCCCGGCCATGCCTCCACCTGGTTTAGAGTGGAGGCCATGTATAATCGATCAAGACAAAACCTGCCAGTGTCGTACGAAAGCCGATGGTTCTCGTGAACACGAATGTGGGTCCAGGTACTCAGGTGAGTTCCCTGGTCCTTCAATTACCATCAACTTTTTCTTACACACTGAGCGGTCACCAAGCTGATGGCCAATCGATCATGACCTTTCAATTTTTATCATTTACGTTTGTTGTAAAATCAATCCCGTGCTTGGCTCGGTCTCTATCTGGTGACTTCATGTAAGCATATCGGCTTCACTCTGTTCGAAGCAGATCAGCCCCAAACTAATGAGCATCTCGCCATTTTCGCAGTCTTCCGTTTTGAATTTTTCAGGCACATCAAGCCCGAGCATGTGATGAGATACAACTGGGAGCAGGATGACCGGGGGCCCCCAATTTTCAGTCAGTAATTGAAGACTGCTTCAGTTTGCTACATGCCAGGATGCATGTATTCTAATATTATTGGGTGGTTATAGATCATGGAATGCTTCGTCAAGAAGGCGATGTAAGGAGATACCAACCACTGAAACTATGCAGTCTCTATCTGGATCAATTCGGAATGTGCACCAATATTTTTTCCTTCGATTTTTTCCCACAAGAAATCATGCAGGCTTATTGAGATCCTCATGTTACCCAGAATTGCACCTGTTCCTCTTGCCAATGAAACCCGAGTTTGAAAAGTGATGGAATGGAAGGAATTCAGGACTTGAGCTTTTGACTGAGAACACAGAGAGACATGTTGAGGGAGAGAGAAACAGCGAGACTTGAACACTGCCAAAATGAGTGTATCTGGTGGCTACTTCTGCGCCTATGTTTTTGTCACATCAGGCTGCGATTTTCATCGAAATGCGAAGGGTGCGGTTTCAAAGATCCTTCGAACTGAGCTTCGATGCGCCTTGGGATATCTTCTCATTAGCGGGTTTTGTAGTGTGACCTCCCCAAGAAGATGGGATGACCTTGTGAGAAGCAAGACGTGTTAACGTCCAATAAATTTAGATGATTGATTCCACTCAAAAAGCGGGATCTGGGCCTCAAGCTGGGTCCACAGAACCCACCATCAAATTCTTCATCTGTGGTTATGTGTTTCCAAAGCATATCATCTGTGATGATACCCCAACAAAAAAGGCATCAGATCCAAACTGCATCTAAGAATATATTGTTGTAAGCTGATCAAGGTTGATGGATGAATTTTATCTATGTATTTACTTTTTTTTGTTTTCTTAAAGTCTTGCACTCATAAGCTTTTCTAAGGTTGGTCATGACCATCTAACACAAATCAAAACAGCAAAGAAAGGAAAAGGAGAGCTTGATAGCAAGAGGATAAAATAGAGCATAGCCACACACACATTCATTCTTTCATTCAACTAGACTAAAAAGACCAAACAAATAAAGAAAAAGGAATGCTGCTTTTTTTATCATTGTGTATATCTACATAGAATATTTCATGACTAGAACCACTAGAGAGAAGAAAGTAGAGAAAAACAAGTAAACCAGCAAAAAAACAATAATAAGGAAATCAGAAATAAGAGGAATCAAGATGTGTATAATATTTTAAGTCAGATGAGTGATATTGTTTACTGATTACACTCCTAAACTAACAGTTCTAATTTACTGATTAATTTGAGTTGGTGAATGCTTGTTTTGTACTTATCTCCCCCTCCCCCCCCGCTTCACCCCTATCTGTCTGTTCGCTCTATCTTTCTGATCTAAGAACAGAACAAACCGAAAAAAATCCACTTTGTCATAACATAACAACTGAGTAATCAAAATTGTGGAAGAAATAAAAAAGAGAAGAAAAGGGAAAGAGAAAAAAAAGATGATGATGATCGTTATCTAATTTCGACGTATCGAGACCGAATATTTTTCTTGGCGTTAGCTTTTTTACCAGCGATGGAGGAAGGAGGAGGGGGAGGAGTATTTGTAGTAGGGTTTTGTTTGTGATCATCCGAAGAGTGATGAGCAGCGGGGGCAGGAGACGAGGGAGAGATGTCCAAGCTGTTGCTCCTGTCGTTATTAATCCCAGTGGTGTTACTTCTACTCATTGCAGGTGGGGGAGGCACGCCAGATGAGAAGACCCGACTGGGGCCCGGACTGTTAGTTGACGTTCTTGTTGGGGGCATTTGTGCAGGTCGCATGGCGCTCGTTGGCGAGGCTGTTTGGGCACGCGGGGGCGGCGGCGTTGAGCCCCCTGGTGAAGCACTCTGAGATGCCCCTGCCTATTAATCCAATCGATAAATTCACGATTAAAAAAACCCCCGAAGTGACATAGGTTTATCATCCAATGAAATCGATCAAAATTCAGGTACTTACTTTCTTGTTCACCCAGCGCTTCGTCTCTGGATCATATACCAACGAGAAATCTTCACCCAGATTCGCCTTCACTGGCCCACTTCCTGGGGGCGCTTGAGCACCTGAGTCCCGTTTGAACCATCTGCCTAACCAGGAAGACGATGGTGCGTTTTTGACGGCTGAAAAAACCCACGCGGAAAGGTTTCAAAAGACGTTTAAAACTCGGATCCAACCAGGTCGTGAACGGAAAAAGACAGCTTACTTTTGTTTTCTGAATCTGTCTCAGCCGATTTGCCGTCATTCTTTTCCGTGTTGCGTTGATTAGAAGGACTATCAGTAGTTCGTTGATCGTTATCAATTCCAGCATTAGAGCCTCTATCGCGTTTACGAGAGCTACTATTACCAAAGCCCAAGTCTTCCTCGTCGTCGATGAAGTCAGTTTTAGAAGCTTGAGAAGATTCGAAATTATTATGAGAAGGCATCATTGAGGGGATGGGGCTACCAAAGGTAGGGCCCCCGAAGGAAGCCATTGGATCTATGAAGCCAGATCCATCATCTGCGATCGGCGTATCCTGGATTGTTTCGAACACCGGCTGTGAGGTGTTATTGGCCGGCGTTCCGTAGCTGTTGGAGGCCTCCCACCATCCGCCTCCAGAGCTGGTTGTCGCAGCATTCTCACCTGTCACGGTTTCGCCGGGGGACGACGGATTGGCAGGCGAGCCCGTCGCTGTTCCAATTTGCTCGTAGCTATTTAGAGGCGGTACGCTACTGGTCTGGCCACGGAATCCAGCATAATCAACTGGGGAGAGGCTCGTGCCTTCGTATTGGTTTGAAGGCGAGGCTCTCCGTGGGTCTTTACTGTAGTATGAAGGCGAATAACCGGCGCCGGAGGATGGTCTTTGAAGGTTGGCGTTATGATGGAATGGACCGGCCAAGCCGCCGGTAGTCTGGGTATTTATCTGGCCCAAATCATTCGAAGATTGGACGCGAGACACGGAGCCAGAAACGCTCCCGGGAGAAATTGAACTGTAGTGGGAGAATGGTCCAAGGACTTTGTTGTTCTGCGAGGCGGAACCGATCGAAGTGGACGCTGCTTGATTGCTTCCTTCATCATCGTCACCCGCCACAAATTTATGCACACGCCCCTCGAGAGTTTGCCACACATTATCCAACGTAGGTCGTGGCATCTTTCGAGCGATCCATGAAGAGCCTTTATCAGCCAGAGGTGTCGCTGATAGTCGACCCGAAAGTGCTTTGATCTGATCGAACAGAGGAGCGTGATAGAAAGGACAAGGCTTGGTTGCTAGTTTCAGGGTAGCCGCCAAAGCTTCGCAGTACCTGGCAAAGGGTACAAAAAGATTGAGCACATGTAAGGAGGCAAGTAGATGAGATGGATAAAAAAAGGACAACGAACTTGTTTGCCCTGTCGACCAATCCGAAGGTTGCATACTCAAGTCCAAGTGCCAAACGATAAGCTTGCAAATGCGGGATTCCGATAAATTGCTCGACGTTTTTAGGAACAGGTGACAGGGAGAGCGCAAATTCCAAAACTTCGGTCAGCATGACAGCCTCCAAATCCAAGCCAGGTCTATCTGGATTGCTGATGGTTGGACTGCCAAGTAAAGAGATCCGATTGCCATTCTCCAGAGACAATTGAGGCATCAAGCCGTTCGATAATAGGTACCTGGATGACGAACATCATTGATGAGTTAGTTCATGACAAAACAGAAGTTCACGGGAGAGCGAGGAACGGACGTGATATGGGCAGCGTAAGTTCTACCATTGGTCAATAGGGTATCGCCCAATCTTAAGAGAAACGGTGTACTTCCGGGGACTCTGTTTGAAATCGTCATCGCCACCACTGAGCGCCATTGGTGGAGGACATTGTTGGGAATCTTTGCATTGGAAGATCGGACTGGGTGGAGTAAGGGCGCGGGGGAAGGGGCCCGGGAGGTACCCAACTGACTGGCCCCCATGCCGGTAGGCACGGTAGACATGGCATGTGACTCGAAATGAGATGAGGATCTATGTGAGCCGGAAGGAGAGAACTCGTCGACTGCAAAACGAGCTCCATTAGTTCGAGTTGTAAAGAAATAACTCGACATGTCAAATGCATACCTGCTGCCGGTCCAGCACCTGCAAATAATGTGTATAACGTCCTCAAGCCTTCCCTGCCTTTGGAAGCAGGGGATGAAGGGGCAGAACCAAGATGCCCAGGTCCGAGCGAAGACAGATCACCATCGCCCATCTCAAAACGAACGAATTCTTTTACCGTTTCACGCCAAACATCGCTTCCAAGACTGTTGGCGATAATCAAAGCATGTGGCCACATCCTTTGCTCCACTGCAACTTGAATAGCTTTTTGTCGATCACCATTGGATAACAGTGCTTGGATGCTATCTAAGTGGGATGAGCGAGTGTGGTAAGTTGTAATGATATCTTGTGGGTTAGAATCTGATGGACTGAGACTTGATAGAACTGAAGTGGCCTCTACAGCAACAGGTTGAGAGTCCATGGATTGCAGAACAAGTCGTACGGCTTCATCTACCTTGGAACTACAAACAAGGTCGACATATTAGTCTCTTGTTTCCTGAGTTTACCGTTCAACAAATAGACCTGCTCAGTAAGGCGAGGATTCTTAAAACAGACGACTCACGTGCCACTCAGTTTACCTTCGTTTTCGACCAACAACTTCAAGAGCTTCAAAAGCATGATCTTATCCTGTAAGTTTTCGACCTTAGCGTCATTCGACTCATCTTGATTGAGGCTGCGACCGACTAGGGTGCTCTGAATGAAGACCAATTCTTTCTCAGACTCGTCGAGCTTGGCCTCTAACCAGCCGACGACTTCTTTTCGCTTCTTGCCAAGGTTGGACTTATTGCCGCCATCCATGAAGAGCGGGCCCGGGAAAGATTGAAGGTCGCTAGAAGGGATCACTTCTGACAGTTGCTGCAATGTAACGGTCGTGCCCGAGTCAGCGCCTGTTGGGAACATCCCCCCTGAACCGTACGGATCTTCGTATCCAGGCGCTTGCCCTGCATTGATCGTCCCTCCTTGACTGGTCGGAAAGACGGTGATCAATTTCCCTCCAAAGCCAAAGCTGGCCACAGGTACCCTGGCCTTCAATCGCTCCGACATCGGATCTTCCATCTGGCGACTCATAAGGTCAGGGTGACTTTGGCCAATCGGATCGTATGGATTATAAGCACTTGGGCCTTTGACTTGTTCAGCAGAGCTCGATTCAAGTGGCCAGTCGTTAGATACATTCTCCCGAGAAGTCATACTTTGGTCATGAGTGAAACCCTCCGGCTGAAAGCCATAGAGAGATTGAGAATGGTCATTTGTGCTTCCATAGGCAGGCGTTTCACCCATAAGATTATAATCAGATGGTTGATTATTATATGGAGCATGCGGATCGACATTGGTCAATTCAGCGGGCTGACTGCTAGGATAGCCGTGAAGGGTTGAGGCCGAGGCTGTATTGTCAGAGTCCGGTAGAGCACCATAAGGATTGTATAACGTCGGACTATCTGAAGGTCGATTTGAGTTTGAGGTTTGGGAGTGGTCAAGTCCATGAATCCCTTGCATATTATTTTGCGTAGGCTCGTAGTTATACTCAGTACCGTATTGAAAGTCGGTGTATTGAGTGTTGGAGTCGTTGGGAGCACCATAATCAAAGTTGTCGAGGGGGATGGTCTCCATAGTCTTGGAATCATCATTTGGTCGGTTTTGAGTAGTTGAAGTTAAATCAGCTAGCACATCATCAAATTGAACGGTCTGTCCAGCATCAGAAGTCGCAGGTAGGGGGATTTGTGGAGTCGCTGGTTGGATTTGAACATCCGGAACTGACATCGATTTCTCGGGTGTATTAAACGAGCCCTCCAGCTTTGTATTAGCAGTGCCAACGAAACTGATAGGTGGAGTTTGGGGGACGGGACCATCGTTAAACTGATTTGCCTCTGGATTGAGAGCAGCAGTGCCCATGACCTCAGAGTTTATGGATAACTTCCGAGTAGCTGAACTGAGCGCATCAACTGGGTCTTGCGGTTGGAATTGAGAAGAGTAATCAACATTCTGGTAGCTCGAAAACGTATTTTGATGTTGATCATCAACCTCTTCGCCAGCATTGGCCATGATCGACATCTTGAGAGGACTGCCAACTTTCTGCTTGCTATTCTGCATCCCACTCAGTACATTGGCGTAAGTGGGCTCGTGGGAGGCAGGGGGTAGAGGCGGAGTAGCCTGAGCATCAAAATGCGAAGTGGGTCCCTGTCCGATGGCGTAACGATTTGAAGGGCTTCCCTGAGATGGATTGGCTGAGGCGGATGGCGAAACCAGCGGAATACTGTTGGGTTGTGATGAATGAGTAGGAGCATACGGATCTTCTACCTGAGAAGTTGGCATATACAGCGTGCTTGGAGATTGGGCAGGAAGTTGAGGTGACTGCCCGTACTGATATTGGTCGGCTTGGTGAGAAAAGTCATGATATTGGCCGTCTATGTTTGAGGTCGAAAGGACCTCATGACTCGGAGGGGAGTAGTCTGTGGATGTGGTCGAGTTGTACGGATCTGAATCAAACGAAGTTGGGTTGCTGGCTCAAGGGGGAAGAGGTTTGGCTGGTTGGTTCGAGTAAACAGAAGGGACAAACTGCCTTTGAGAATTGAGGATCTGAGGGGGCTGGGCATAGAAATCGTTAGAGCCTGTGGATGACATTCGAATGGGGTCGTGAGTGTGTGCAGGGGTTGAAGTGCTTCGTTGCTTGGGTGGTGGTGGCGGCGGCGGCGGCGGGGTAAAGGAGGTAGGAAAATTTTGAGGAAAGGAACCAAGACCAGACATAGGCATTTGAGTGGGGAAACCATCGCCACCCAAGGCTGGAGTAGCAGGCAAACTGGCGGTCGTATTAAAAGCATAAGGTTTCTTTTTGCGGATAGCTGGCGGATCATAAGCATCATAAACTTTTGGTCGGTTCAAGGGTGAGCTGGCATATTGGGTTGCGGATTGGACCAGTTTGGGACGCTGGAGGTTCGGATAAGCAGAAGCTTGATGGGCTGCATCTGAATGTGATAGCGCATTCACAGAAACTGAACGAGGGATTACATCGGCCAGGTGCGGGTTGGGAGGATTGAAAGCTGGAGTCTGTTGAGGAACATATGAGGGGTAAGGATTCTGTGGAGGATTAGTCTCAGCCGGGGCATAAGGATTGTAGGCATCCAAAGCTGGCTGTCGGTGGCCATAAGGAGCTGGAGGTGATGAAGTTGATATACCGAGACCGGTTGAGGAGTGGTGAACAGATTGAGGGTAGGAGGAAGCTGGAGAAGCAAAACGTGAAGGATCATTGAAGCCTTGCGGATCAAAGTTGAGGCTAGGTGATGAATATATGTTCTGGTTCGCAGTCTGATGATCTTGATTATAGTTGTGAGGTTCTGGGGCTGGTTGGTAGGGATTTGAATAATCTGACGGGAAGACGCTGGAGGGGTCGTAAGAAGCTGAGATGTTAGGATCTGAGATCTGGGATGAATTGTTGGGAATAGGAGAGGGATGTTGAGCGGGTTGATCGTTTGAGGGCCAAGCAAACGGGTCATGATCGAAGGAGGATGAGGTATTTGCAGGTTCTTCTGGGACGGGATCGAATAGGGAAGCTTGCTGGGCCAAGTCGTTACTGAACGTGGAAGGCGGGCCAAAGAAATCGTCCAACCCGTTGCCACCACCAAACAGTTGACTGGCATCACCAATACTCGGAGGTCTACTGGCACGAGAACGAGTTAGCTTGGGTGATTCAGGAGACGACAGGGGTAGCTCGACATCCTGCGGTTTGATATCCGCATCAGATTGAGACATCTGTCATGGAAAGATAGCAAAAAGACGATCAATGATTTTAGTCAGACGAGTTGTCAAAGGAAGTAGCCAAGGAAAGCAGGAAGGACATACGTTTTTCTTTCGCCTCGCTTCGATCTCAATCCTTGATAGTTTATCCTTCCCAATCCTTTATAGAGCTTTAGGGCGGTCAACAGGCAATCTGGTCAGTATGGCTTTCCTTCGAAGTTCAATGTGAGGCTCAGTGAAATCGGGCCTCGTCGAGATAAAACGTTTCCTCCAGTTGTTGATAAGCTTACCTGGGTTGATTGGTCCTTTGCTTGGATGATGGCTTCTCTGATTAGTTCTTGTGGCAGTTTTCAGTTGGAAATCGTGACTTGGTGGACTCGACAGCCTCGATGGTCAACAGCACCAAAGTCAACCAAACAGGCCCCGGGAAGCCCACCGTGGGGAGACCGATGACATTGATGACCAGACCAAACAACCAATCACCTGGCTGTCACCAACAACACATGTCAACCGATGACATCATCACAACATCTCATCAAAGCTCTGACTCTGACAGTGCAAGATTTGTATCTCACCATACAATGAAAGACTTGTCGTCAATTTTACAGCCCCCTGTAAAGCTATTTTTACAGGCTGTAAAACCATTTTCCCAGCAAAAAGTTAGCTCTACAGCCTATAAATCTAGCTTTACAAGGCCTGTAAAACCCATGAGAAGTCCTCCAATGGATGGACCTGTCAAGCTTCATCACAGTTTTTTTCTGTTTGGTTGCTCATAATATATGGATTGCAACCAGGATGAATCTTTATCAAGAAATCTATGTAATGGGTGGCTCCAAACAGCTCCAAACCAAAATGAGCTGAAATACGTCATGGGTTGGGGATTCAGGAAAATGTCACACCATTTTTCTTCAACATCATAATGGCAAAAGAGTGCACAAAGCACCCTTCTTAGTACAGTTTACACTGCTCACCTGCTTCACACATGTCACAGCCCATGTGCACTGCTCTGAGCATGCCAAAAGCTTCAGAAAAGCATAAATAGACCCACTTCAGATGCAAGATAGTGCAGTGCATTGCTTTCTTGTGATTCATGTGCAATTTGTGTAACTCTACCTCTAATGCAAAAAGTAACAATTACCTATTATTATTAAAGGTTATGGTGGTGCAATAAAATATGAATGCAGGGCCCCAGGGGGGGGGGGGATTTTTGAAGGGTGTTACAATATCTGAGTGGAGAGTTTCAGATATTGAGTGAGATAACAAGCAACAAACCATAAATCAAAACTGATTTGGCCTTTAATTGACTGTCCAGGGGATAGTTAAACAGTAACTGCCTCAACAAAAAATCCTGTTATAGTACTACATGCAACAGTGAAACCAATGCAGTTCATGTATTTGTATATGTTTTTCTCTGGATACATTGTATTTGTATTGTACCAAAAAATAGATACTATACAAATGTATCAAAATTCTTGTATCTGGTCAAAAATACAGCCCAATGAAAGAAAATATGATACTGTATCTTTTTCATATCTGCCAAAAATTTTGTTGAAAACAGTGTAAATTGGCCAATAAGGTTTTTTGATAAAATACAATTGTATTGTATCTGATTTTAGATACATAAACAATACAAATTACTTAGAAAAAAGACACAATACAAAAGTATCTGCAGATACTGTATTTTATTGTATCTGTTTCACTGTTGCCACATGTAATCTACATATACCAATTAACAATAATGGTAGAAATAGTATCCACAATCATTTAATTTACAAAAATCAATCAGATATAGTAAATTAAACTAACTTCAAACAGTGGCAATTCATATAAAAAATAACAGAAGCCCTAAAATTCACAGCAAGGTGGTCAGACTACACACAGTGCTCTAGTGCTACTGCCTCCAACTGATTGCCTAGAAAATATTTCTATCAACCAAAATGTTTCCAACCCACCTTTCTAGAACTCAGTTCCTCATCAATCAAATCTTTTTCAATTGTAAAAAATGCCTAGAATCAAGTTGGACAAGTCCACTGCCAAGGAAGCTGCAGGTGAAACCCAACACTGCCCAAGCCAATGGTGAGCCAGTTAAGCCTACTGTAGTGTTAGTGTGGCATGATGTAGCAGAATTCTGCTAAACTTTAGCTTAGTGTTGTGGAATTATGCCACATCTGCACTAAAACCACACCTGTAGGCCCCAAAAAAGGGCCCACTATGCCGCGCTAACACACTGGTTAGCAGAAATTTGGGTCTGTAGTGCAGTGCAACTTAGAAAATCTGCTAAAAAGCGCTAACACTATGGGATTTGGGTGCAAAAAAGTGCCACTACGCTAACACTTTTTGGGCAAAAGATTAGTGGCCCATTGTTACCCAAGCCAATTTGAAGTCCAATTGTTATCCTAAAACCTCAGACTGGATTGAGGTCAAAACAGAGATGGGCGGTGCTAACAATGGTATTTTTCCATTGGAAAAGAAAGATAATGTCTTGGAATGGTAGAAACTATGGAACCCCAAACCTTATTTGAGTTGGATCACATTCTTGCTGACAATAAACTTTTCAAGTATATGTAGCTGCATTGTCAGTAATTCCTTGTTATGGGTTCCTTTCCTGTCCTGAAATCACAGTTGTTTTTGAGCAGATTTTCTCGGCAGGAGATAATCTCTGTACCCCAGATTGGGCCTTCCTTAGATAAGCAAGAAGGGCACCCCCAAACTTCAATTTTCTGCTAAGACTATAAGGTGGGTTTTTCATCCATAAGATAAGAATCCTTGTTTGGTTTTCTTACTCCTAACATATTAAGGTGTTGAACATTGTATCTAAGTACTTTTTATTTGTTTTCCTCCATTTGTATCTTACCTACAACGCTGGGCCAGCTATGCTAATGGCAGCGTTAGTCTAGCTAGTGTAGCGCAAATACGCTACACGTGTGTGCGGCAAAAAAGGGCCCACTGTGCTGTACTACAGCACATTTTAGAGGTTTTTGGGCAGTTTTTGCCTCTAAAAGCGCTGTAGTGTAGCATAGTGGCACTAACAGCGCGCTGACACAACAGGTTTGGTGCGCTGTTTTGAGGGCCGCTACACTAACGTTAGTGGGATGTTTAGTGTAGTGTAGCATAGCGGCCCAGCTTTTTGACCTACAAACACAAAGTGCAAAACAGTGCCACTGCGGATTTTTCCCCATCAAAAATAGAGACAACTTCAATAGTGGAAACAACAATGTAACAGATCTGATCCCCGGATTGGATTGAAAATAGACCCAATACCAGGTATTGGGATTGGATCAATCTCCAATCCAATCCCAATTTATTGGAAAACTGGGATTGGGTGGAGTGATCCGATCCCAATACCCGGTATTGGGTCTATTTTTGATCCGATCCCCAATAAATACTGATCTGGGGATCAGATCAAATACCCTCTGGATTATGCCAAATCATGAGGCACACAGCCCACAGCTTTTGGGTGTTGGATTGGGATTGCAATGCAATCCCAATCCCAATCCGATACCATGGGATTGGATTGCTAGTGCAATCCAATCCCTTATTTTTTGATACCTGGTATTGAAAAAATGATCCAATCCAATAAATTGGCTGATACTGTATCGGATTGGATCAGTTTCATCATTGGTGGAAACTATACATTTTTTAGCTGCAGTATTTCAGTAGATTAATGCTACCAATACACAATTGCTGAAATTATCCAAATATTACCAGCCAGCAAAACCAAAGGCTGATATTTCTGTGAAAAAAAAGTGCAGCACAACCACAATGGACTGCTAAATTATGCTTTTTGCCCAAAAAGTGTTAGTGCAGCATTGTCTTTTGCTCACAGAAATTAGATAGTGTGAGAAAAGCATCAGTGGTTTTTTACCTACACTACAGGCTGCTAATGGCTGCTCCAGGGCCAAAATTCCTCCAACCAGTGAATTAGTGCTGGGGGTCTGCATGTGTAGTGTTAGCGTGGATGTGAGAGAACTCTGCTCCACTATGCTAAAATTTAGCAGAATTCTGCTGTATTACACCACACTAACACTATGGTTAGCGTAACTAGCCCACCATTGAGCACAGTATTTTACACTTGAATGGAATACATATGGCTGAGTGAGGGCTTTTAAAGATAACATCAAGTATGCAATTTGCTCAGAAAGGGGTGGGATTCTTTGTAATGTTTTGATAGTTGTTGCTTCAAAATCCAAAAGATATTGAAGGGGGGGGGGTTGATGTGATGGGTTTATTTTGGGGCCAACAGTAGGAGAATTTGTGGTGAATTTGATTTGGGGGTGTATATCTTGCAAGAGTGATGTGCTCTGAAATTGCTTTAGAGGGAGGGGATCTTGCACATTATGAATATGCGCAGATTATCATGGCCACAGCCTTCTTGTACCCCAGCTTGAATGGGGATGTTGCTGACCATTGTAGACTGGCATACTCCACACTTGAAGTATTGTTTCTTGCACCACACATCACAAGTGTCAGTGATCCCAATCTTCTTCCCACACACTTCCTCTTGAGGGTAATTTCCAGCTGGAACTTGATTGGCAGTTCCTCTACAACTTCCATTGATACAGCTAATGGAGCTAGCTGAAGCAGTCATGACACAGGTCATGAAAATTCCAATGGTAATGGTATTCAAGTTCACAATCATTGCCAGTGTGGTGGGTTGACAAGGTGTTTGAGGTGGGAATTGAACTGGTGTTGTGCGGATTTGATTGATGATCAAGACAGATGCTTCCACTGTTACACTATGGCAGAGGGTAGGATATTTCCTTTGTACACTATCCTTATACCACCAGCCCAATTGGGGTCATCAGCCAAATAAAAAAGACCTTGAAGATTACAGAAAAAACCCAAAGTTTGAATAATTACCTTCAAGGATGAGTGGTCTGAAACCTCAAGACCAGCATAGTGTCTTGTCTAGAGGTTCTCAAGTGACTTTGGTGTCTTTTCCTGTATGATGGCTTAGGATCAGTATTAAACTGGGTTGGGTTTGGGTCAAAAAACAGTGCCCAAACCCGACCTGGCAAAAGTGACTGGTTGGGTCATACAGTCAGTATCTCTGCCCAAACCCAACCCACCTAGGGGAGCAGGAAGGTCAGGGTTGGGTTGCGGGTTTCTTTCCGGGTCAGGCTTGGAGCAAATTTTGGTAGTGCAAGGCTCAAGCAATCAGAGAGTTGCTTGAAATTATTGATTGGTTGCTCGCAATTAGAGATGACCATTGGTGACCGTTTGGAGGTACCCGGTACCTGTTTGCCTGGTACCACCCGGACCCACCGAAACCTGCCAGGGGGTGCCAGGTGAGGTACCTGGTGTCCATTTCTGAGCAAAACAAAGGCGGTACCAGGGTACCGATGGTCATCTTTACTCACAATTATTGATTGCGGGTTCAATGAATTTTGGTCGTATGTGGTCCCAAGATTGTGAAGTCTCAATGGATGGGATGGTGTGCAAGGCTGCGATTGAAGCGTCCTTTGATGTCAGACACTGAGACACTAGTCCATGTGTCTACATAAGGTTGTAACCCCTCCAGGTTACATAATGATAAGTATTATTGTACATGTTCTTTGAGTTAATAAGTATTTATTAATGTTACTCCTTAAACTAATAATTATTTATCTCTCTCTGGATAATTAATGTACCTCTCTCATGAAAATAACAATCAAATTGCAAAGGATAATTATTTCTTGTGTTTATCCAAGTGATTATTATCCTGTGTATCTTTCTTGTACATCATCTGAAATAAGAGAGATATTCTACATATGCAATTGTATCTTCTGAAATAAGAGAGATATTCAACACATGTACATTTACCCTGTTTTGAATATCTTGACACTTTCCCCCAAAGGAATAGTGTAACAATAAGGGGACTGCACCAGTTCCAGCAGCAGTTTGAACCCTGCTCTGTAATATTTAAGGGGATGACTCTTTCCCTGAGATTCATCCCCCAGACAATTACTACAATACCAACCCACCAACCTTACTAAAGCACATAACTTAGTGAGTAGGGATTTTGAGTAGTTTATTGTTAGTTTAACTAGTGTACTTTCCTCCTATTATTATTATCACTAGTCTGTATAACTTAAGTCTTTAACTTTATAGACTAGTAACAACCCTTTCCTCTTATATTCTCAAAAGCTCAGCCACTGTGAAGCTCATCCCACAGTTGTCCCTTGTTCTTATAAGGAGCTACATAGCCCCTCCACTTTACAAGTGTTGAGGAGAAGCTTATTTCCACAGGCCGCTCTTTTGGCTATAGTGTGACCTTATACCCCATCAACTCTTGGTCACATAAGAGACCAGAGCTGACATTTGAGGTTTGCAAGTTTGTGATTATTGAAATTTGAATGTGGTGAACTCATGAAGCCCTTGTTGTGTAGGTCATAGCACAGTAGCAGTTGTATTGATGACCAATTGAACGGACTCCCAGGATCCTGAAGGCTGAAGTTTGTTGGCTTCTGAAGCCGACCCACGGACTGGACTGCCCTTAAGTGGGTTGGCAGTTGGGTTTTTGGGCCAACCTGAAATCAAAATACAGTGGTGGACATCATATTTCTGTAACAGATTTTACAGTGTCCCAAATTTTGGGGGGAAAAAATTTGGAAACATCCCCTTGGGAGAAGGGGGAAAGGAGGGTTTGGGGTGATATTTTTGAGAAAATTGACAGGTCAAGTTGGTCAAAGTTTGTTTTTCTGTTTTGCACCCAAAAAGTTCAATAAATCAAACCCAAAAGTTCAAATGATGTTCAAAAGTAAGGCTTGATCTCATGTGAGCTGGTTGAAATCTTGATCATGTTGTTAATTCAGGACTGAGGGAGGTCTAAAAAGCACTCTAAATTGTGACGGGAAGTCCTCCAATCATAGACAACACGTTTTATGTGTTTATATGTCTATTTGCATGCATGTATCAGCAGTGGGCCGCTACACTACACTACGCTAAACGGCCCACTAACGTTAGCGTAGCGGCCCTCAGAACAGTGCGCCAAACCTGTAGTGTTAGCGCGCTGTTAGTGCCACTACGCTACGCTACGCTACGCTACGCTGCGCTACAGCGCTTTTAGCGGCAAAAACAGCCAAAAAACCGCTAAAATGCGCTGTAGCGCAGCGTAGTGGGCCCTTTTTTGCGGCCCACACGCGTAGTGTTAGCGCAGATACAGAAATCTGCGCTAACACTACGCTACAATGTAGCGTATTTGCGCTACACTACGCTAGGCTAACACTACCGTTAGCGTAGCTGGCCCAGCGTTGCATGTATGTGCACTGAAGCCTTGCTGGAAGCCCATAACTATGCACTTAGGGTGTACATACATGGGCTTAGGGGGAGGTATAAGTAGCATGTGTCCCAAATAATGATTTGGAAAAAAGGGAGAAAAAGAATGTCTGGTCCAATTGCAAAACTGAATAAGATTTAGAATCTACAACCTCCAAAAAGTCAAAAAAAAGACAATTTTGGAACTTTTGGACTCCTATTCAGCCCGCGTGGTCAACTTGCATTTTGCTGGGGGGTTGTTACAGTCACTTTCATCCTGAGCTTAGGCCTTATTTGGCTGTCCATGCTTTTCATAAATAATCATAGCAGAAATTTCGGGGGTCATAGCTTATGTAAGGGCCTCATGGACATGTTTGGGAGTACATGTCATACCCACTCACACGTGATATAAGTGAACAGCAACACATATCTCCCTGCCATTTCCAAGATTTTGCCCCCCCCCAAGAAAAGGTGTCAAGATTAACCTTTGCTTTCACACCATCTCTACATCTCCCCCATCTGTACACCATTCCCTCACTGTTGTCATGCCTCTCCATTCTCCTAACCCACCATTCTAACACCTGACAGAATCTGGAAACAATAAGTAGAGCTGAAATACATAATGAAATATTAATATCTGCGTATCAGTTATGCCCGATGTGATCGGCAATTGAAACGTCCCGCATGATCGTTGTCTTGAGTAAAGATTGACCCAAGCACCCATAATCTGAAATGAAATGCACACTTTTGGAAATTTTGAGATTGTCTTGTACTGGTTGTACCTGTTTGCCAAGGAGAACTACCCCTCGGGGTTCACCCATTGCCAAATACTCACTGGGGAGGAGCTCTCCCCAGCCATTACTTTAGGATTCCTGCTCACCGAGCAGAGGGCCTGCTAGTGCTGGGTGAATGGGTGCACCTTGTAATTGCTCACCAAGTAGGAATCTTCCTTGGCAAGCATGTGGTGATTGACCAGGAGGTATGTTGGCTGGCAAAGACACCTTTGACCTGCTTTAATCCAGCGGGGATTTCTCCTGAGCCATCAATTTGTACTGGCTCTCTGAGGGGGGATCCCGGCCAGAAAGTGTGTGCGCTTTGTCCCAATTGCTTGAGAAAGAGCTCCCTCGGTGAACCTGTACAAGGTGCTCGCCAAGGAGGAATCTTCCCCACAAACCAAGGAAGCTTCCCCCCCAAACACAAAGCAGGCGCTTGGGGATGCTCCCTTGGGAGAAAGTATTCTTGGCTAGCAGGTACAAGCCGCCTGCCAAGGTGGAAATTGAATCCAGCCCAGCAAGTAGTTCCTAAGGTGGAATCCAGCCCATCGAGGTTCCTTTTACCGACTCCACCTCCAAGGTGCACCCACCCGGCAAAGCTGGAAAGGCCCAAATGGGTAGTATGCACTTGCGCAAGTTTTTTTCCTGTTTTTTTTTCGTTGTCATGGTTCCAATGGATTATCATGTAGGACAATTCAGTCTTGCCCGATGTGATCCTACTATGTACGTATTTGTTCACCACACGCAGTAATTATGGTATTCAAAGTTGAAATGCATGAAATCATAGAGTGCATAAGATTATAATGCATATTTTTTTTGGTGGGAGTTTCCCACTTGATGATCAAAACTCCTGCCAAAAAAAAATATATACATTATAATCTTATGCACTCTATGATTTCATGCATTTCAACTCTCCCCAGTGAGCAGGCAAAAGGTATGTGCACTTGCTCCGAGTGAGATTCCATGAACCTGTGCATAGAACATCGCCAGGGGGGGGGGGGGTATTATTCACCGGCAAGCAAGTACATCCCTGGAGGCCTGCTTGGAAGTGGCAAGTCTGAGTGTTGTGAATGCAAATCAGACTTTTCATTACTCCTCAATGGGGCAATGGGGATCCACCTTAGAATTATACACTTGGCTTCTACTGATTGTTTCCGGACAGATTCGCCCATCGCATTCTAACCATCCACTCCTGAATCCTGATTGTATGCCCCCAAAAACAGCCGCATTGATCTTGGTGAGGAGTTTCAGGCTGCGGCATTTGCACATCCTGGAAGAGTCAAGCCTTGGTTCAGGTTTGATGATTTGAGATGGCAGCTGTGTATTCCAATCTTGGACTGCCAATCAAGGCCGTAGATAGTTGCTTCCCCAGACAAAACGGGATTGTTTGGAGTACTTCTTTGTCGGAAAGATAGGGGGAAAAAAATGGGAATTGATGGGTTTTTAAGGATGGGATCTCTCTCAGGTTTTCTTCAGCTTCAAGCCGTTGTCGCTACTTGAGATGATGGAAGAAGACGCTGGAGAAAAGCCAAGGATCAAGATACCGATGATCCAACTATGTCCGATCAAGAAGCCAATACTGCTTAGCCAGACAGCCCGGAATTGAGGCTCGCCCAAGAACTCCAATCGATAGGCTTGTGATAACCAGAGCACCTTCAGGAACAGAGAAAGCAATCACACACGCATCATCATCAGCTTTTTCCCCCCTTGTTCCGGATGAGGAGAGAGAGGCGGAAGAAAAGCCTACTTGAGTGGAAACCCAGATCACGGCCACGCCAATCGATTGGGGCTTTGATAGCTTGATGTGTCTGACGATGAGCGGGATGAACCATAGGTACCACATGAAATACTTTCGATCAAGCCAACAAGGACAGTCAGCTTTGATTGATGGATCAAGATTCGTTGCAAACGATGCCAACCTGGGAAGTGACGACTTTGTTGAAAAGCACAAAGACGTAAGTCTGTATGAAGCAAGCAAACGGCAGATCTTGGGCGCCATAGTGGAAGCCGAGGGCCAGAGTGAGACTCATTTGGGGGATGAAGCTGACAAGCGGATGGTGGAGAATCGAGATCATAGGCGATTGTTCGGCGAGGACTGAAGTAAAGCGTAGGTAGATCGGGTAGAAGTAGGGCGAGAAGTTGTGGCGATGGTCCAATCGACGCAGATGGTAGAGGTAGCTCGACTCGATGAACTCCTGTCCCCAGCTGTGAAAAAAAAACCCGCAAGCGAAGTGAAGTAAGTCTATATCAATCCCACATGTCAGACAGGAACGAGGGAATCATCTCGACTCACATGATGTACATGAGCAAGTTCAAGACCGAAAAGGCAGCCAAGCTGATCACTCCGAAGCGGACTTGTGAGCGGCTGATCGAAAGCCAGCCGAATCTGGAATGCGGATGTTGGGCGAGTCGAGCCCAGACGGCGGTGGCATAGATGAACGGATAGAGTTTGAGATGGACAGCCACTCCGAGCAGGACGGCGGCTGCGTCCCATTTGTTGTGTTCGGCCAAATACAGGAAGCCGATGATGACGACGCCCAGCAAGGATTCGCTGGACCCTCGGGTCGAGATGTTGATGACGAACGGGTTGAGGAGCCAGATGAGACTGACCAGTCTTCCATGAGACGCCGCGCTATGTCCACGGGGACAGAGTCGGTAGAGCAAGATTCCGATCACCAGGTCGGCGCTCCCGAACAGGGCTTTCCCCCAGCATGGATGGATGAATTCGTTGGGAGTGAGGATCAAGGCGAGCAGAGGTGTGTAACGGTAGGTTGCCCGATCGTACGGCGATCCGAAAAACCAGGCCGAGCCGTTCGGGCCAGAAAGAAGCGCCCGGGCGGCATCCGAGAAGACCTGGTAATCGATGTCCGTGTATTTCAATGCCGAACGATTATCGTGATAGACGGAGTAGCATATCAAGCCTAAGCGGAGCACGAAGCCCGGTATCAGTCCGAACAGTACGAATTCATTCATCATCATGGCCGAGAATCCAAGGCGCTTCTACATCCAGTTCGTTCCACCGATACGTCTCGATCAGGATTGTCCGCTAGTCCTGCGGTGATGAACCAAGTCATCGTTCAGCCCTGGTCTTGACGAGGAAACGAAATTACATATGTAGGAGAGAAAGAAGCTAATTACCTTTAGAAGGATGGTTGGTTGTGGCGCGTCTGGGACCATCTGCATTCCAAACCAGAAATCCCACACAACCACCAAGAAAAAAAAATAACAATACAATCAAGCCAAAACCCAAAAATGTACATAACCACCAAGAACCGTTGCAACACATCCCGGTTCGAATTTTGATTCCGTGCATGGTCATGAGGGCTTTCCACTCACACCTCTTTAGTTCATGGTCATTACGGTGGCTTTGCTCATCATCATGTAGGCCACCGATTGCCGGCAAAAAAAATGCACATTTATTGGACAGCCTTTGACAGACTGGAAGGCCCAAAGATGGTGAAGGATCCACAAATCAACTTGCTGATGATAAAATGGTGCGGGACTCAAGTCTTCTCAAAGAACTTGTTTGGAAACTCGAAATCGACATCCCAACAATATATTTCAACAAAGTTAGACCAAGATGAAACAAAGCATGAGATTCATGCCGGTTTCTCGGCCAAAAGAAACATCTAAGTATGTACCTGCACTTCAAGTTGAGCATTCACGAGACGTATTGGAGAGCTCGATTCTGCTCAAGATCGAGAAAAACAAGCATGTTGAGTAAGGGAATCAATATATGCACGTGTTTTAGGCTAGACTACTCAAGCTTTCAGATATTGGGAGAGGCGGCTGGAGAAAGAACGCTGCCTACAGTATCTCGGCGACGCCAAGTAGATCCGATCATGCTTGCAAGTGACAAAGATGAGCTCAACCGGATTTTTTGTTTGAAAAAAAGAAAGTATACAGTCAAGTTTTTTTTTTCTCTCTCTCTCATAAACACACACACACAAACAGTTTATACGCCACGATCAGGAAGAAGGGGAAGGATGGACTGGATGATGGAGGAAGGCTCGAGGAGATACGTATTCAGATTAATTGCATGTTCATTCACTCATTGTACCCAGTCTTCATGATCTCTGCACACACACACACACACGACAACACGAGCACGAATGCGGAGCGGATGAGGATGATGGCTGCTTATGTTCAGCTTCTCTCATCAAATAGAGAGACAACACTGTCCAAAAAAAAAATGAGTGTGAGGTCACTTATAGATGTGAAGTGGGAGGAAATAAAGCGCTTACGCGGATCGTGACTCTCTGTTCAGGACCTGCGACCTTTCATTCCTCAGTCACCGGGTTTTTCCTCGGTCTGCCGCGCGGCTTGCCGTTGGAGACCGCGGGCTTCTTGGCATCCGGCTTGGATCCTGAAACCGTCATGTTCAAGCCAACCTACATATAAAAAAAACAGTTCGTTAATGGCCCGATTCAGCACTGTTTTTTTTTGTTGCTGGGGGAGATGGTCGACAACTTGATAAAAAAAAACATCTTGGGAGTATAAAAAAAAACATTCTTACCACTACTTGTACTTCTTTCTCTTCCCCGTCCACGTTCACTTTGACCCGGATCTTCGAGTTGGCCTTCCAGCCGTAACTACCAGTCTATGATATCCATCGATCATGGCAAACAAAAAAAACAACCATGCAATTACATCAGGTCAATTCTTTCTGCGTTCTTCTTCTTCTTCTAGTATTGGATGAGCATGTGGAGAAGGAAGAAATAGAGCATGTGCAGGAGGACTTCCCGGGACGTCTCGTCTGGTGGTCTGTCGGTCTTAGACACTCTTGTACAGCCCACTTTTTCGTGTAAGGAAATTATACATATATATATGTAGCCCTTGGTTGAGGATGTACTGTCCCGATTCTGCCAGGGTGGGACAGATCTTGAAGATCCATTGATGAGACAGGACGACAAAAAAGTGGAGCCCAATAGGAGGAGAATTTGCCGGATGTGAAAGACGACAGGAAGGACGAGGTGTGACTGATATTTTCCTGTCCACTCCGCAACCGTGTGGTAGATGTCGATATCAAGACCCGGGAGAAAAAAAACCCCGCCGTTGGATGTGCTGACGCAGGACAAACATATGTAAGTGGCCCTTGAGGATGTGCATATATGTATCCCGATTCTGCTAGCTAAGGAAGGGCCCCTGATTTTGAAGATCATCACACAGGACGAAAAAAAAAAAGTTGGACCCAAAAACAAAAATCTCGGGTGTGAAAGACGACAGGGGGGAATTGTTAACTTCCTGGCCACCCCCCCCCCCCCCAACCGTGGTAGAGATACCGGTTGAGAGATCCGAAAACGGCCAGATTTATTCCATGGAAATGAAAAAAATAAAATATACTTCTCGGATGTGCAAGAGGGGGCAGGAGGGACCAGGTGGCTTGGATAATGTCCTCATCCCAGCCGTGATAGGAGTCGATCTTGTATGTAGCCGCGAAAAAAAAAAAAAAGTCGAAAGTGATGGTGGGAGAAGTCATATATATATATATATATATATAGCCCTTGATGGGGGGTGAGACCCGATCCAACAGGCCAGCTGGGAGTCCAGAGCTTGGAGGGAAAGACAGAAATCGATTGATCAGACAGAACGGATAAGAAAAAGGAGGAGGACTCAAACGGAAAACGTGGAGGGTTCGGCGGTGATGATCCCGAATTCGGCGCCCTCGCCGAACGCGATGGCCATGCTTTTGGCCGACTCTTCGAACTGTTTGGCGGTCATACCTGGGTCTTGCTGGCAATGGCACCAGCATGGGGGAGGGATGAGCAGTGGGGAGTGTCAATTTTTGTTTGGCATCTGATTTGAGGGGAAGGCCAAAGAGATGGTGGGTGAATTAGCGGGACTGCCGACCTTGACGAATCTGCCTTTCTTGGGCGCACTGGCCTCGTCCTCGCCACTGGGAGCCGAGACCGGGTCGGCGGCCTTTTCGACCGCCGCTGCATTGGCCGAGGTGGGTTTGGAAGATGTTCCATCCTTGATCGAGGCCAAGTACATATACCAGCGGAAAGTCCAATCAGTTTTAATCGCCCAAAGATGGCAGCAGAACTCATGAACGCCGAGGATAAGGAGGGGTCGTAGGGGACGGGAGGAGGGCTCACCTTGCGTTTGGGGGCCATGTTACTGTGTCTCAAATTATAACCAATGGTTGACTCTGTCGAATCGTGGGAGCAACTGTGGAGTGGAGAGCCGAACAAGATAATGGGAGTATGGATGGAATGGGCGAGTTGAAAGATGTCAGGATGGGGCTAGCTGGGGACGAAAGACTAGAAGTGGATGGGGAGACAAGATAAGATAAGATAAATGGAAGACTGGAGACGGGATATTGCTCAACTGGTAGAACTTTGGCCGCCCCCCCTGGAGCGATGTAGAGGTTGGCTGATGGACTGTTTGTTGCGTCGAGGGGTGGTGGTTGCTCGACTAGGGTGGGCTGTTTAATCTTTCAGCTGCTGGAAGATCGGCGTACATAGATTTAAGGAATCCCACTCCAAACCTTAAAAAAACATACACCCCCTCATCCCCAAAGACCCCTCAATCAATCAACCCTCTCAGCCTCCGTTCCAGAATCAGTACATTCCCCGAGCTATGTATAAGAAGACACCATCGAAGGTTTGTGTGGGGTTTTAATTCATCTTGCAATGCTGGAGCCATGAGGGCCCCGAAAATCAACTTTGTCCAAGTTTGGGCTCAAACTACATATTTACAATTGATTGTGATCCTGGATGGATTCCTAAGCTACCAACTCAAAAATACATCCCACCTTCTCTTCCTCCATGAATTCACCAGTTTCTTGCCCCCATCCCCTGCAATGAAGAACTAGAACTTCATCAAATGAGCTGGGATTTGTTGGTTCATCAGTCACACAATTGAACACAAAGACTTCCTCTTAGAGAGAAATCATTGTGAACATTTGAGACAATTTCATGAATCTATGGAGGCCATGTTCTCAAGCACAGTTTCCCATTCTTCTCTGTCAAGTTAAACACTTCCAATTCAAGGTCAAACTCCTGCACACAGGGGGAACTTGTTGAAATTATAAGAGGCAACAAGGGGAAAGGTTTGCAACACTCAAGTCAAGTGGAGGAGCCTCAAGTGTCATCACAAGATTACTAGGGGGTATCAAACATAAGAAATCCACCATGTAAACCAGTCAATTATCCAAACACTAGTATATGCCCCCAAATTTGGGGAGGCTGCTTGTTTTTTCCCCGGATGTTGGGGGTTTCACTTGTTTGAAGGTCCTATGGTGTAATAGCCTTTGCTTTTGAATATGATTGTAAAGTCTTAGTGAATGTCAGAAATGACATTGAAATGTGCAACATCAACACTGGCGTTAGAAGCCGCATGAGAAATCAATACAAATACCTATTGAAGGCTGACGGTTTGTTTGGCCCTCTGAGGCTGTTTTTTTAGTTATATGTAGATGTTTTTTTTTCACCAATTAGTCCCCATTAAAGGGGGCAACACTGACAGTAGTGTTAGTCTAGCGTAGTGTAGCGCAAATACACTACAATTGTAGTGTAGTGTTAGCAGAGATACAGAAATCTGCGCTAACACTATGCGTGTGGGCGGGAACAAAGGGCCCACTATGCTGCGCTACAGCCCATTTTAGCCGTTTTTGGGCCGTTTTTAAACCAGTTAATTAAATAATGGTGGATTTGCCTATATTTGATACCCCCCCCCCCCCTATTGAGACTCTGAGGAGGCTGAAGTGTCACTCCAAGGAGAGTATGGTCAGAACAGATTATTTTTTATCAAGCTATAATCTAGAAGGCTTAAGTATTCAAGATACATGATTTTCAAGTAGTAGTTCTATGAACACAAGCATGACACTCCCAGTCATTGAGAGTGGTACAGTGGGTAGACAGTGGAAAGTGGCTGCTTATTTTGGATTCCAGAGCTCCAAAACACAAATTTGAAATCATAAGACTTGGTCAGGTGTTGCATATTAGTTCCCAAAAAATGAATCTGAAAAAAAAGCAACAAATAACAAGAGTGCTGAGAGAAAGAAAGATTGGGGAATCATAAGAATGATTATAAATGAAAATTGCGGAAAAATTGGTTTTCAGATGGCTTCAAACAGCTCTTGAGTGGGGCATTCACCAGCCCACATTGTAGTAAATCACTAGAATTGACTGTTTTGGCTTCAATCTGGACAACCAACCTGGATGAACCTTTTTGGGTTTCAATTTTCTTTCATTTATAATCATTTTTCCCACATTCCATTCTTTCTTTCTTTCAGCACTCCCACTCCACCAAAATGAATATCAAAACTATTGAAAAAAAAATATTTTTGATTTTTCACAAATTTTGAAACTTTATTTTTTACTTTTATTTTCTGATAATCATTTTTTGGGACCTATTATGCACCACCTGACCAAGTCTCATGATTTCAAGTTTGTGTTTCAGAGCTCTGGAACCCAAAATAAGCAGCAACTTTTCACTAGGATGGTTCACGTCTGAACTTTGAGGCAAATTTAACGACATTTATCATTGAAATTTTGCAAATATATCAAAAATCTCACATTCCTGCAAACTTGATGGTTCATGAAATTCTACAAAATTCATAAAATTTTATCCTCAAGTGTGTTAAAATTTGCCTTGAACTCCAGACGTGAACTGGCCTACTGTCTACCCACTGTACAGTCACCTACCAAATGTTTATGGCCAGTTTGTTTGGATTACACAACCCTAACCCACCAACTTTCCATCATGAGACTTGGGCAAGTGGCTTGAAGGAGGTTTCAAAAATTGACTCTCAAGACAAAAATGGGAAAAACTGATTTTTGAAATCTGGAAAGAATATTACAATTATATTACTGCATTTTTTTCAGAAGTTTCAATATTGCTCCAAATGATAAAGTACAAACTCAAAAGAGTAGTATGGCATGCAGGAAGAATGATAATAAATGAAAAAAATCAACACCAGAAATCATTCAAATTGGAGCTCAGCATCCCAATCAACATGCAAGTTGAATTTGATCACACTGCCTTTTCCACTCTATTTTCCACTGTGAGTCAGATGAATGCCTCATTACACACAAGTTTAAAACCATCTGGTAGTTATTTTGCTCAAAATTTTGATTTAATATAATTCCTCCAGCATACCATACTGAAACTCACTGTTTCAATTTTTTCATTTGGAGCAATAGTAAAACTCTTGAAAAAAGTGCAACAACTGTAATATTTTTTTGCAAATTTCAAAAATTGGTTTGATATATTTTTGTTTTCAGAAAATTTTTTTGAAACATATTTTATACCACTTGACTGAGTCTCATGATTCCAAGTTGGTGGGTTGAGGTTGTGTAATCCAAACAAACTAGCCATAAACAACTGGAAGGTATGTACACTCTTGATGGCAAAGAGTTTAATTCTTGATATTTTGCAACCTTCATGTCTCAAGATATCTGAAGAATCTCCCATCCGCTGTGGAACTGCTGAACAACCAGAACAGAGCTTAGAGGGGAAATAGCAAACTACACTACTAGTAATGTAAGTTAAGCTATAAGTGCTGATGAGGCTGCCCTCTGAGACTAATGCTGAGGAGAGAGGGTTACACTAAGAAAATAAAGAAGAGGTGTGGCTAATTTCTATCTATTTCTTAGACTGCTATAACTGATGAGGTTGTTCCTTATCAACCTACAGGGGAAGAAGTGAGACTATGAGAGTTGTAAATAAAGCAGAGCTCTGAGGACACTGAGTGTAAAGGTATTTCTGGGGCAAGCACCTAAACAGGGCAAGGTCACTAAAGTGAGTTCTGAAAGTAAAAAAAATAGATTTTATCTGAGGGGCACAATAATATCTGTAGGGGAGAAAATGCATAAGGGGTGTACAAAAATGATAAGAAGACTGTATATATACTTCAGGGTACAAATGAGCACAGGTTACAGTCAGTCTGGCTATGGGAGCACAATGTACAAATGTAGAACAAGAGATGTGAAGAGTAAACAATCAAAAGGGAGGATGAGTAAAGAAAAACAATCCCAAAAGATAAAGACTGTGAAAGAGTGTACTACTGTTATCCTGAAGGCATATGAGAAAGCATAATTGTAAGGAGTGTGTTTGAGAAAATATATGTAGTATGTAATGTGAAAAGAAGTACTTGTAAAGGAGTGTGGCTGATGTAATGTGAAGAGATATATGTAAGAAAATAATACTTGAGAAAAATATGATGTATGTGGTAACCTGTAAATATGTACTGTATGTAGTTAATGTGTAATGTAAATGTAAAGAATAATATCTGTAAAGCTAAAACTGCAAATAACTAATGAACCAGTAAGAAATGAGATATGACTTGAGTGAGTGACTATAGGTAAAAAGGGGTGTAGAATCTGATTCTGTAGTAATATTATAACAATTCCCAGTGAATGTACAGTAAAATAATAGATGATATGGAAAGGTATGGGTTACCACATCCTCCCCCAACTTATTGTCTGTCCCCAGACAATGCAGCCAGTATGAAGATAGAAGACTAAAAGAATATAAAGAAAGAGTAAAAAAAAGTAACTAGTAAGGGAAGCAAGGGAATCCAGAAGGGGTCCATCCAACAGGAGCCAAATCCAGAGTCCAGGGTTGATCCACTTCCAGGAGGAGTATCTGTTCCATCCAAGAAGGCCAAGTCCTGTATCCAAAAATAAGACCAAGAAGGGAATCTGTATCCAAAAAAAGAAAGGCCAAATCCAAAGTACTGTAGTTGATCCAATCCAAGAGGCCAAAATATAATCCAGACATTGATCCACTCCAAGAAGGCCAAGTCCATAGTATCCAAAAGTGAACCACCCTAAGGAAGGAGTATCTGTTCCAATCCAAAGAGGCCAAATCCAAATAAAAACAAAGTTGAACCACTTCCAAGAGGCCAAGTCCAGATTCCAGGGTTGAACCAATCCAAGGAAGCCAATGTCCAGGTATCTAAAGAAAATTCTTAAAAATGGGCCACCCAATGGAGGAATTCTGTTATCCTTTCAATGAGGCCAAGTTCAAGAGTCCTGAGGTTGAAGTTCCATCCAAGAAAGCCAAAGCCAGGTGACCAAAGAAAATCCAAGGGAAAAAACTGAGTCCAATAGTCCAAAATAGTCCTAAGGCCAGTAAGAGAAAAAAAAAGACTAATGATAATTGAACCACTTCAAGGGGGAGTATCTGTTCCATCCAAGAAGGCCAATATCAAGAGTAAGACCTAAGTTGATCATCTTCAAGCTGGAGTATCTGGTTCCAACAAGAAGGCCAAAGTAGGTAAAGACTTCTGAAGTTGATCCAAGTCCAGGAGGAGTGTCTGATCCATCCAAGAAGACCAATCCAGGAGTAAGACCTGAGTTGAAAGGCAGGTAAAGTTGATAAAGAAAATTCTGAATTCCAAGGTCCAAAAGAGTCTGAATCCAAAGTCCAAAGAGAAAAAATCTGAGATGCCAAGGTGGAAAGAAACCAAAATCCAAAGTCCAGAAAAGAGGTCCAAGGAAGTAAAAGGTTTATAA